ACTGTATGTATTTACTATTTCGTTTAGAACTCCTTTCTTAATTATATGATGTAGCCACCATTAACAAATAGTCTCTTCTGAATTTCACTCAGAAGTGTTTAAGAACAAACCAATCGACAGCCGTTGATATGAATTAGATGGTTATAAAACAAAATAAGGTTCATTCTCTTGAAAAATCTCAACATATAGAAGTACTAAGTTTCACCGATCACTAACCGCTCTTTCGATTCTAGTTCCTTAAAATCAGAAAAGTTATATATATTAAAATATCTTTTTTATTTTTAAGTAAGCAATATATATGGCGCAATCAAATTAGTAAAAGAAAATTTGTTATTATGAGTCAGTCAGCCAAAATGGTCTTCTACTCGTTTTTCGCGTAATTGACCAGAAGAAAAACGAACAGTCCAAGAATCATCACTATTCCATTTTGCAATACGACTTCACCAGAATTGTAACATAGAGAAAAGGTACCACAAGTTGATGAGCCTAAAAAAAAGAGAAATGCTTAGAATGAAGAGATGGAAATAAGGTGCAAACAACACTTACTTGGGCAACCAAAATTTGGCAATACTTGAACCACAACATTTAGCTAAAGAAAATAGATAAATGTAGAAGATTACAGGCAGAGACCAGGACTCGTAATGGAATTGGATGCAACGAAATCAAAGAAACCCTTCTATCCCATTAGAATGAAGGGGCTTGATAGAGGCAGCAATGTATGAGTCGCTCACTTTTCGAGGCATTGATCGAAGCGAATCATCAAATAAGAAAATTGCGACACAAATTCAGTCTTGCGTAACTTTTTTTCTTTCAGGCGACTCACTCTTAATCCGACTCGACTATCTCTCAATAAAGAGAAATGTAGTCTTTAGGGGAAAAAATTACAACCTGGGCGGCCGTAATAAGCTGTACTACAGCCAGTGCCACTGGTACAACAACTTCTGCAATCCGATGAAACGCTCGATAAACCACAGATGACAATCATGAATATTAATAAAACGACGAGAGTTAAAGAAGACATGGTCGTTCTTGTTTTGTTACAAGTTGAAATAAAAGATTGTATCAGTTCGTGCGTTTAAATATTTAGTAATAAAACACTATGCCCACAATTGATGTATTGAAGACTCGGAATTACCTTACTATCACTGTGTCAATAAACAAACATCTAATTCTTATATACTATGTTCTTCTAGTTACGTCGTCTTTGCTATGTTACCTTAATGTTCTGACAGGTATTGATTTGTTTTCTTTTCAACAGTTTGGTCATCCAAGACTTCTCTCTGAAGAAGCAACACTAACAATAACCGCCATGGTAAAAGTATAAATGCATGTAGTGGCTAACTATAGTATTTAAAAAGACGATATCAATACATCGTAAGGATCCTGAGAATACCCATGCAATGTAGCAAACACGACATAAACTAGAAAAATACAGTATATAAGAATTAGATGTTTGTTTATATCAATATGTGATACTCTGTAATATGTTGATCATAATATTACACTATTTCATTTTCCATTTTAATCACATATTTTGAATCTATACTCTTTCTGCAAAGTATAGTTCATCATCTTAAAATTATCAAAATTGTTTGAAACCAAAAACAATCATTCCTCCAATGTAAACAAATATCAACAACGAGCTTTACTATACATATTTGCAGTCCACCCTATTGACTAAACATTACTTGTATGGTCTTCAGGAAAATGTGTGACATTTTTGAATTATAATAGCTGGAGAGGTCGGTCTTTCGCCATTTCGTAGAAGATTTTCTGGGCTATCTTTTACATATTTAAAATCGATAACTCACTATAAAACTTAAGGCAACTACGTTCACATCTTTTAAAGATCGATAATGAACATTACCTGAAAAGTCAATGTTTTTCATCTTGTATTAGTGGATCAATAGAGTACTCCAAGCTCTACGCAACGGTGAAAATCACAGGCTTATATCTATTTTTGTTCTCGAGTTATTCAAAAAATAGTCACACGCACGGACTTGTTGGATGAACTATACAAACCTATCCTATCAATCTAACTATCTACTTAAACCTATAGATAAATATCTTTCTTCTTTCCTCTTTTAATTTATATTGCATCTCTTTGGTTTCTAATGAATGTTCATTACAAAATGTCTTTAAGTACTTGATTTCAGTGTAGTTAAGACTGATTAGAATTTGCTTCAACAGAAAATGTACGTCTTTGAACACTAAGTGAGTTCGTTGACAGATTTCTTCATGACTTGACAATATCTATTTTCAATCTGTTAATCATTTAACTGTTTTGAGCTAATATAGAGTTCTAATATATAATTTCTAGTTAACTTGAATTTCTCGGCTTTATCTGTAATGGTATGTAGCAAGTTCAAATTTCTAGCCCAATACTTCAATACTAATGTTAGATAATGTTTTACAAAACAGCGAAAAGAAAAAAACTTTTTCTCAAAGGTGGAACTAACTAACTATCTGTCTACTTTATCATAATTTTAAAAAATGATATAAAAAAAAAGATATCTTTTGTACATTCTGGATATAAATATTTGACTTTGCCAAATGTGTCTGTAATATCTGCATTGTTGTTCTCAGATGTTTTTTCTCGTTCCTTCTACCCTCTTTTATCACGAACATCAGTAAAAGAAAAAAATTAGTCAAGTATGAGAATAGTTATCTGCATGAGTAAAACTTCTATGTATATAGTAGTAGAGAAAGAAAATAATCGAAAGAGGAATAAAATACAGAAAATGCAGACAGAATGTTGAAGAACATAATGTGATAGAGGAAAGTTATGTGAATCAATATTGACTAGGATCGGTAGCTTAAAGGTGTGCGATTTTATTTCACAATTTTCATTACTTACAGAAGTCTTAGATATAAAAAAAAATAAGACTACAAGACAAAACAAGATAAGTTTGCTTCTTTTTCATGGCATCTCTCTTAGAGGAATACAAAAACAAATAACTGACATAGTAAAAAGAATTTTTACGCAGAGCACACAGAATCGCTCATGTTGCATTTTAGTTTCTCCCAATTTTTTTTTCAAAAATAACTAAGCTGTTCAAGACCAAGTGATTGTTTTGTATAGGTCTACTAAATCACATCTGTCTTATTGTATTGATATAACGGCAAATAATTTTGCTATTGCTTTTTAATCGAAACTTGTAGTTATAAACTGTGAGATATTCAGTTGAAACGAATAACTAACTCATTTGTTCAACAAAGTCATTGTGAATGTACAATTTGAACCACATTTAAAAAAATAATATTTTTAAATAGAGTCGATCAATTTGCTACTATGAACTTAAGTTTTCTTATTTTACGCTTATGCATATGTGCTAGCCGAAGTCAAAAATAAACTTCCAATTATATGAAATATTTGTTTGCCCGTCTGATATCGGCAGTCTTCTAGCTTGAATCGTTGAATTCTATGTCACACATATATTCATGTTATTATCAAAGTTTGAATGCAAAAAAAAAGTCAAGCAAGTGATGCGAATTGATTAATCTGGACTAGCTAGGATAATCTGCATGCACTTCGTGTTTATAATATAGAAGACTTCACCGTTACATACAACGGCACGTATCAGAATGATACATAAATGTATGTATTATCATGCTCGAATTTTGAATTTTTCACTGTTTACAAAATTCTTTTTATTCACACTTAAACGGCAAAAAAATCTTATCGTATGTGCAAACATTTGCCTAGAAACTAAAATCAATTGAAAACTGTATAAAAGCGCAAAGCTTTGAAAGTTGCAAAAATTAGCTTTCTTAACAGAGTGTGGGTATGGGTGTCGATCAATCTTGATTTTTCAAGAGATAACACGGCTATTAATGATCGCTACAATTATGACAGTAAAAATACTTTCAAAAAACGCGTCAAATTTAGACTTTTGCGTGATTGATACGCGTGTTATATACAATGAACATGCTGATAAAACTAACCTTTTGAGCATTTACACACCGATATATAGAGTGTCCCGTAAGTCATTAGACAAAGAAAAATGTGAATATGTTCGCTATATTTTGACCAAAACGGCTGATATTTTTATCCCTGATAAAGGAGTATTCATAGCTCCTATTCATAAAAGAAACGTTGTCGAAAATTGTTTTAAAGTATTTACAACTGACTTTAACAAAGAATTGTAATCTTTCAGGAGTTCTGGAAGACGAATATTGAAGCTTTACCAACAAACTCTTGCTGGTTAGAACTGAAGCTTTCAGGGTACACTGAGTAACAAGACATGGTATAAAATTATATACCATTTACTCTCGACTAAGGGAATAAATCTATTGTTTTTTCTCATAGCTTGCGAAAGGTTACAGTTCTGTGTTAAAGTCAGCTGTAAATACTTTAAAACAATCTTTGACAACGTTTCTTTTATGAATATAAGTTATGAATACTTCTTTATCGGGGATAAAAATATCAGCCCTTTTGATCAAAATATGGCGGGGATATTCACATTTTTCTTTGTCTAATGACTTACGAGACACCCTATAATTCACGAGACATGATCCAAAAGAGTGCTACACGTCCACTAAATAAATAGAAAAGTGTCGAAGAATTTTTTTTGTAAATCTGATGTTGATAAATTATGGAATAGTTTTCTCTAGTTAAAGTCTGTAGGAATGAGTGTAAATTGTTACCCGACACAATTTAGCATTCTTTTCAGATAATGTTTAACAAAAAATGAAATCAATTTTTTTTTTATTCATGCAAAATATACATAGAAAATATTTGTTTAATAATTCTTTAAGATATTGTCCATTGTCCTGTTTGAATAACTTTGATTAGCCATGGAAAACATTTTGAATCGATTAAAATATAAATTCCAAGAGCAATAAATATAAATGGACTGATAAACTGAGCATATTTTTGTGCAAATTTAAATATTGGAGGAAAATGTATAAAAGAATAACACACAAGACATAAAACAGCGACCATGAGTAAAAAGCCTACTGCATAGGCAACGATTTCCCATGATTTTGATTGAACAAATATGGGTACATAAATAGCAATATTATCATTTCCATTTGCAATTGTTACAAGACTTACTTTAACTATTTGTTTAATATTACTTGTACAAGTTTGTTTTTCGTTCGATTNGTTTGCTCTTGAGATATTGAAACTTTCAATACACAACTGTAGTCACGCGTAAAATTGACTTTCGATTTGCATGAACGAAGTTCTTAATAAAATAAGTTAATTGTGCGGTCTATAAGTTTTCTTGTACCCGGACCCAGGTCCATTTGAAGGACTCTACTCGTAATTTCCACCATTACAATATGTAAACTACTTCCTTATTGCATTGCTAGAGTATAAAGTTAACAATCACGAAAAAATGTGCCCCAAATTCGATTGGAAAAAATCAATTTTCATGTGATTAACAATAATAGCTTCATCTCGTTTCACATTTGCATCCCACAGGAATTGCGCTAATAGCTTTTCGAAAATTTGGATTTTCTACGAAGAAGAATTTACTGAAGATGGAAAGAATTTTGAAAATAGATCGAGTTTGTTCAATAAATGCACAATTTTCTACTAAATACTTCGGCGATGAAAATATTCAAGCAGAAAATAATGCAAGTTGAGTGATGATTATTTAATAATTAAACAGGACTCATCTATTTTCGGTATTAGATAAAATGTTTAGTAAGTCAATATGATGAACTCGCTTCTCAAATTGGACATGATCAAGAACGAAGAATTAAAGCGAAAATTGACGATCCGTTATCAATAAGTATTCTTGATGAAAATCTGACTAATACTTCTAATAATGCTGAAGATTGTTCAACAATAATTGATTATGATTTTGCTTATTCTTACTTACTTGTTAATTGTCTCGTTAAAATGAAATCATTTTATTCCGAAAAAAAGGAATTAATTAAATTATGTGAAAATATTTATAAAGAAAATGCAAGTGAATTATCAATACTCGAAGAATTTACAAAAGAATATTCATCCTTAAAATCATTATTTTGGTTAACAAGAAATTCATTTATTCACAGATTAATTAATAAAGCAATAAGAATAAAAAATTTTCGTATTTTATTTTTATCTCGATTTTATTTTCAAGATATTTATCAACAACTTGAAAAACATAAATGTTTTAAATCTATTCGTGTTTATCGAAGTTATCATCTTTCAACAAATCAACTAAATTTATTAGAAAATTCTATCGGAAAAATTATTTCAATAAATTCATTTTTTCTAACAAATCTAAATCGTCGACAATCAATTTCTTATTTCAAAGAATCAATTCTAAACGATGATCATCATGCTATTCTATTTGAAATTGATGCGGATCCTCGTTTGAATAGTATTCAACCATTTGCTAATATAACATCATTAAGTTATTCTGTTGGAGAACAAATCGTCCTTTTTATGTCAGGTTCATTATTTCGAATAATTAATATTCAACATGATAATAATTCATTTGTTATTATTCAATTAAAATTATGCAGTCAAAATGAACAAGATTTGAATATATTAAAACTATCGGATCAATTTGATTTTATTTCATTTGGTCAATTAATAATTGATAGGAAAAAATTTGATCAAGCTCAAATATATTATAATTATTTAATTCCTCAAATATCTGATGATAATGCAGATATTACTATATGTTATGATGCACTTGGATATGTTCTATCAGAAAAACATCAATATAGTTCAAGTTTAAAATGGTATGAAAAATCACTTGTAATTAAAAAGAAATTATTTGATCCTTATGATTCACGTATAACATCTACATATAATTCAATTGCTTCACTGCATCTTATTAATAATGATTATAACCGAGCATTAGAATTTTATGAGAAAGCATTAGAAATTCTTCAACGAAAATATGGCGATGATCATCCACGTCTATCAGAATGCTACAATAATATGGCAATGGTTCATAAAAATCAAGAACACTATCGAGAAGCTCTTAATTTCTATAATAAAGCATTATCTATTTATGAAAAACATAATGACGATAATAATATTAATTTAGCTTTGTCTTATAATAATGTTGGTTTAATTTATCGTCATCTAACTGAATATGATCTTGCATTAGAATATTGTAATCGATCATTAAAAATTTATGAAAGTATTCTTCCACTTAAGCATTCTCTTATTTCAATGACATTGGAAAATATTGCAAATATTTATTACGATAAAGAAGATTTTCGTCAAGCATTTAAATATTATGAGAAAGCAGCTCAGATTTATCGTCATATATTACCTTCAACACATCCTGATGTTTTACAAATTCGAATGATTATTAAAAAAATTGAAGCGAAAATTTAAATTGAATCTACTCGATTATTTTTTAATGGCTAACAATCAGTTGAATTCATCTTAATAAACATTAAGAATATTTCAAATTAGGAATCAGTAAAAATTCTTGATGAATAAAATCTAAAATAAAACAAAACTCATCCAATGGGTGAGAACTCATAAGCGAACTAATCGGTCCACTATAGCGGAGAAACAAATGAAAAC